ACCTAAGACGCCTTTCAGTAACTAGATTGAATCTAGAAATATTACGAAGTCCGTCTATATAGACCATAAAGTCCATAAAGTGATCCCCTACGAAAAGCCCTCACCTAGATTATACAATATGAAACGCAAAAAAGGAAGGCTAATAACCCCCATAATTATCCACGTTGGCAAAACTAAGGCCATTCAAATCAGGTAAGGCTTCAGCATATTCTCCTCGCATTAAATGAGACCAGAATACCGGAAAGGTGCTTTAATTAACCTAGCATTCTACTAAAAAGGGGTAGAAGTAGAAAGGCTTCTTCTAAAGAAATTTGATTATAAAGACTAATCGAATCCCTCTACCGCTGTTGTTAACATCTAATACTCTAGATAAATCTATTCGTGATAGATAAACAAATCCTATCTAGGAATAACGATCTTCGAAAATACTTAGTTATGATACAAATTGCAAAATGCTCCAACCTAAAATTCATCTGCGTCTATTGCGATAAGGGCTTTCGTGAACCGACCAATCTTTTTAAACACATCGGCGAAAACCGTGATGAGGTTTATAAGGGGCTCTCTCGAAGAGACTAATTACCACTGTTTCTAGCCAGTTACAAGGTTGCTATAGGCTAGAGTGACGCATCTAGTAAAGATTCCCCGCAAGACTTTCAGGAGTCCACTACGCGTCCGCAGTACAGTGCCTTCTTTGAAATCGAATTCGTGGCATTAAAAAAAGGGCCTTCAAAAGCAAACATATTAGATTAGTCCTGCGCTATACTGGAGAGAATAATTAAAAACACTAAGAAGGATTTTGTTTGTCCTCAATGCTCGCGTCTTCAGAAGAGCAAAGATTCTATATCCTCATATCTTCGGAGAAAGCAGGACGATATTCACCAAGGGCTTTAGGCGAAGAATGATATCGAGTCTTTCCTTTCTTATTTCTTTAAAGTTCTTAGAAGGACAGTTCCTAAGAAGGATCTTCCATTAGGCGAGGACCGAGGAGGGCCGCCCTCACCCTACGAGTGCTTTCGAGTAAGCCTTATCGTGGAATACAAGCTACGTGAGTTTGCCCTTAATAGAAAGTATTGATCTTGCTAGGCTAAACTTATGATATAGCTAAGGAAGACACAGAAGAAAGGGAAGACACGGAAGAAACTGATGGTGATTAAATGATATAAATAGTAGGGGAAAAGAGGAACTAGGAGTAGACAGGCTCACTATTACCTGGTTTCGCAATTAAAAAAGGGACCCAAGAGTTATTTTGTAGCTTCATTACAATTCTGCTTAGAGCGGAAAGAGTGCTTAAAGTTATTGCGCTAATGGAATTAGATGGCATTAGAGAAGATTATTAATTATGGCCGAAATGTTTCATATAAGTGAAGAGAAGTCCGTTGAACGAAAGCTTAAACAGATTCAGACGATAAATCGTAGTAGAACTTAAGCAAAGTCTCCTAGATACTAGACAATAAATGTGCAATGCCGAAAAAGCAGCCTTATTCGTCATCTTCGTCGGAATCAAAAAGATATTCACTTCGGTCAAGGCTATTTCTGGGTGTCTATAGAAAATAATCTATCTCTCCCTTTATTAGATTGTGAGCCATAAGATAATGTGCAGTGACCCAAATAAACTAGTCCGATAGTGTGGTATCATTTCTTTGATTACCACTCTCCGCGGTATAGGGGTTCGGAAACTAGGGGTTTATAAGATAATCAAACTTCTTCACTAGATGTGATAGATCACTGGCATATTTAGCGCCCTGTATAATTGCGGAGAGGGAGTAGTAGTTGCGTATTCTATATATTATCTATAGCTTGTGAGTTAGAAAAGTATTTCAGCCGACGTTGTTCCAAAACATACTTAAGCGAGTTTCTCAATTTTCTCTATCGCGCCAACTTTAGCTACGACATAATCCTATACCGAAAGGCAAAGTTCATTCTATCTATTATTGACGCAGCTTCGACCTAGGTTGCTTTCTCCGCCTATCGCCTATATATTTAGCCGCCGTAAAACATTGAGATCCTCGATTGTCATTTGCAAAGCAAGAACTTCCAGACTTTGGCATTTAATATTGTTAAAGAAATTAGTGTTGGTGTTAAAAGGCACCGTTAAGTCAGCGTCAACGGTACGGTATCGTGTAAAGCGCCTTTCTAGGATAGATAATCGCTATAGGATACTCCTTAGAGATATAGAGACATCTAGAAGTTTTGCTAGCGGTTGGATAATCGATGATTCGAGAAGTTTAGCCATAGGCATGCCATCCGTCAACAGGTTACAGGCTTCGTCTATGGCAGCACATAAGAAAGGATCTGCATTTGCATTATATAAAGACTGCTTTCTATTAGTAAACTCGCTTGCACTGAACTTGACTAAACCATACCTGTCTTAAGGATAATAAACGCTTCAGGAGATAAAGGTTTTCAGAACAAAATTTATTCAATCCCTAACTGAAGTTGTCATAATAGGAAATGAAGCTATTGACTTCGGCGGAGAAAAGCCTAAACGCTCGACGCACAACATCTATAAATCGAAGCCGGCCAACGATTTGAGAGCTTACGACGTTAAGCTTAGAGCTAAGAATAGCTAAATATTCATTTCCGTCCTCGAGGCCGCTCTCTACCCATTTCCAATCAGGAAACGTTCCTTTTGCTGCACTAGAAGAGGAAGGAACTACCTGTGACTAACCGTCAACAAGGCCAAATTGTCGCAGTCGTTTAGCTTCCTCTACAAAGCTTTATTCCTCTTCCAGCATTACCCTTTCGATCTCGTTTTTCCACCAAGTTCTCGGGCGCCTACCGTTGTCTGTTTCAGTATCGCCATTAGTAGGTAAGTCATCTACCGTTGAGGTTAAACTTAAAAAGGAAATTTTCTGCGCAAGCTCTAAAAAAAATAAGCTTCCATTAATCAATCAATTCAGGATATTATACCTTTGGTGGAGATGGGTTTCCCATCCAAGTTCAAAGCCATGGTAGAGGGTGAATATCTATATATAATATTTGGGGAATTAGTAGGGTGTAGCGACACCATTTATAAAAAACCATAGGGATACACCGTAGGAATACAGCATATACTAGAGTTTAAGGATCAAGTCAGGTTCTAGACCTAATCAGCAGAATTGAATATATATAAAGTTTCAGAAACAGCATAATACGTAGTATTGTGGGGTGTGAACCTATCAAATCAGCTAGATCCTAATAATTTTACGTTACGTTTCAGATATCTTACAAAAGACGCCTATTGCGGGGTAAATAATCAAAGAATCGGGTTCTAGGTCCCAAGCATCCCCTAGGTCAACGCTCCAGAAAGGCAGCTTCTTTAGTTTTCATAAGCTTTACTATTCTAGGATAAGGGGAAGCGAGTGTCGTCTCCTAGTTATCTCAATCATCTTCCTTCACCTTCTGGATGCACTCTTTTTCTACGTTTTCTCTAATGAATTCTATATAGAAACCTTTCAACACTTATAGTTACTAAACCTCAACCCCTCTAACCATTCATCCTCTCCCTTCTTGTTATAACGTTAGCGTCTGATCTTCCTTTTCGCCGCGTCGTTCGAGGTCAGGCACAAGAGTTCTCTCTAAAAGCCCCTTCTTATATGGATATTTCACCGTAAGTCGGGACTTTAAAAATGGCTTTGATACTCTACCCTCCAAACGGCAAAAGAATACATACAAATGTCTAATCGAAGATTATAGGTCCTTTGAAAATTCCGCCTTTCTAGGTGATGTACCTAAGAATACCGGTCGTAAATACAGAAAAATGCTCCTCACAAAAACTCCCTAATTATCGACTTCCCTCTCGTTGACTTCAAAATATCAGCTCAACACATCTTCATCTTGGCCCTCCGCCCAATCTAGAATACTAGATAAATAAGATGCTTTCCGTCCGGGGAAACCCTACATAAACCAACCACTTCGATAATGTCTATTTTACAGAGAAGTGCAAAACCAGCTTCACCAATTTGCAGATAGGCCATGTGAAGTTGCTATGGTATACGAGGTTGCTCGGAGCTATAAAGTTACTCGGACTCGGGAGCTCTATAGAAGGCCCTTCAGCCTCTTCATCATTACTAATTGGATCAACGGTGATTTGTTGCTATATTCTCTCTTCCTTTGCAGCCTATATCTCCTAAGCCGAAAGATATTCAGAGAGCATTATTCGCTCCTCTTCATAAATCTCGAACCATGATATACATATATACATCATAAGATCCGAGATCGTTTAAGGCTATAGAGAGCCTCGGCGATAATAACAGATATCTCGTGTAGAGTTGAAAAGCCGCTCTACTCTTATACTACTAGCTAGAATAGAAAGAACATCTCGTGCAAGCCTTGCTATTCCAGGGAATTCATCTTGACGTCCGGCGGTACTCAATATAGTAACATCTAACATTGGGCACCCCCGCTATATGTAGTAGTGAGATATTTAGCCCTAGGCACTATCCTTGAAAGACAACTATCCTCAAGCTCTCCAGTAGTATCATTGCTACTTATATTCCCGCCTTCATGCCTATCTTTAAATTGCGACAGAAGAACGAACACTCAACAAGATATTACACGAAGCATAATGAAAGCTCTCTTGTGCCATAAAAGTCTATAGCCCTTAGTGGATTTTCTAGTCAAAATTACAAACGTCTAGATCCAAACGATTCCATCTCTCTACACCCCCTCACCCCCGCCATTGCAAGTGGCTATTAGCGGGAGGGAGATTGTTTAAATATTCAATATTTTAGGCGAAACATTCTAATTCTTCCAATTAGATTATTGTGACACAAATTAAGACAACTTTCTTACGATCGTTCATTAATACCTACACAGTAGGGTGATTATCTATGTACTTAAGTCTCTATATAATACATAGGAAAAGAACGATTGAGGACATTTCTCCGGGACGTTTGAGAAACCCAACAGTCTCACTACTAGTGCTCCTTGTAGAGGGTAGCAGTGTCCAGGATACTGCTATTGCCCGAAGCGACAAACTGGTGGGTTAGGTAGGTTCTGTTATGGAAAGTCAGTTTGGACTAGCCGTAGGTGGCATTCCTCTCGTCGAGTCGGAAGCGCTCGTAGGGTGCTAGTGGGTTGGTGCCCTCGCTAAGGCCATCGTAGTGACCGGCGGCGCCGTTAGTGATATACCAAGGAGAGGTCGGGTTATCGAGCTCTCTAGGGTCGATAACGCCGTTGTTAAGCGGGGTAGAGCGCTAGTAGAAGTGTGTATAGCCCGACAGGTAGAGGTCGACGGCGTACTCGAGAAATAAGGGCTCGAAGACGTCTTTATAGTCCCAGCAGATAGTGGTGGACTGATTGGCGTACGAAAGGTACTAGGGGCGGTGGCCGCCGACGATGATCCACGGTGTTATAGTGCGGTCAACCGAGGCGAGGTCCTTTTTCAGCCAGTCGAGCTGCGCGTTAGCGTAGGGTCCAAAGGGGCCTACAATATCCTTCTCGACGCCGCCTGTCTGGTCCAGCCCGATAAAGCCATCGCCCAGGTTAGTCTCCGTATCCAGCATAATCCAGTGGACTATACCGTTGTCGAAGCTATACCAGAAGTTGCCCTGGCCGCCAGACACGTCGGATAGCATACGCCAGTGGTTCCTATAGCCGATGAAGTTAGTGAGGCCGGGCTAGCAGATAAGGCTGGCGTTATAGGAGATGCCGTTATAGGTCTCGACGCCATCCGGGATGCAGCTGGCCTCGTGATTGCTGGCGCCAACCATCCAGGGCTTGACGGTGGAGATTTTCGTCATCTCGTCGTAGAAGTCGTTGTTAATAGACTGATAGACCTCATAGCCCTCCTAAATAGTGGTGTTTGGCAGGAAGCCCTCAGACTCCTCATCGAGCCAATCGTCGGCATAGGCGAAGTCGCCGGCTGTGTGTGCGCGCGCAAGGCGAGGTTAGTGAAAAGGTTTAGTTAGTTAGGAAAACGCGGTATAAGCGCGTGGGTGTGAACGTACGGTAGAAGATAAATTCGTAGTCATCCTTAACCGCGTCGAGGGACTAGATAGTGTTTTATTCGCCAGGCTAGAGGATATTATTGGGATTCACACCTTGGCCAGCGGAGGTGGTCAATCCATTATGTCCCATAGTGCCTATATCGATGACCACCGCGACCGAGTAGGGCGTCATATCCCCAGGGGACCTACTGGTGCGGAAGCTGAAAGGAGGCTAGGCGTAGGCCTCATTATCGCAAATAAGATGCTACGGCAGGGAGTAGTAGTAGATAGTGTCCGGCTCCAGTCCTTCAATAGTCACATAGTTAGCGTAGACCGACGAGGTATTGTAGGTGACGGACTCGTCGGACGAGGCGGCGTGGACTAGGGCAGAAGGCGTCTTTCCGTAGAATACGACGAGACGGTCGACCTTGTCGAAGGCGCTCCACGATACCCTTATGGCGGTGTCTCCCACGTACGCGAGGCGTATCTACGAGTTAACCATCGTGTCGTGCTTCGCGCTAACCTACGCACACAGCGCGAGCAGAGGCACTACGAGGGCCTTAAGCTACGCGAGGGACCGTATCATAGCAGCAATATTTCGAATACTACAATCCACAAAGAAGAAAAGGTAGAGGACAGAGGGTGGTTAATATATAGACTAAAAGGAGTGAAAGGAAGGAAAATTGGGGCAGAGGAGGGTAGTAGCCTTAGATAGGGCTAGGAAAACGAAGGAGAGGGCAACACCGATGTCAATTACTAAATCGCTCGATCAGGGGATAACTGTCTTGTCTTGTCAAAACGTGGCGACGGGATCCCAGGCTCTTGCTTGGCCTGCCTTGCGTTTCCCAATAGTCCACAACTATCGACCCATGGAGATAGAACGTTATACAGATCCTAGTTTGCGGGGGTTCGCGCTACCCCTTCCAGTGTCGCGTGCCTCCTTCCCCATCTAGGACCAACGATATATTTATAAGGGGGGCGGGGATAAGGAGAGCCGGCGTTGGTTAATTAGCTAGTGACCCTGTCCTCGAAGCGTGTCGAGCTATCTCTTGCAATCCTTTCTCCACTCCCACCATAGGCAAGGGGTGTTCATCTTACTACCCGCGGAACACGGCAGCGTACGGATATAGGATAGAGGGAGGGACAATTAAGGCATTTCCACTATACCAAAGGCTATTCTAGCACGCCGGAGCGTTATAGCGTCTCGAATACATACAGGGCGCGGTTACATCGTCTCCTATGCGCTGACATTAGAACATAGTCGCCCCGCCACCTTGCACTGGCTGGCTTCTCTTTAGCGTCGCCACGCCGTCTTAGTCTACGGGGAGCGCCGGAGACCGGAGACGGACTCGGTTTAGATCGCCCGGATCGACCGATGCGTATTGGCCCGCCTCGCTTCAACCGAGTACATAGCGCCGCGCTATTTCATTTCCCTTCCCAGACTCCATAACTTCCCTCCAAGTTCTTTCAAAAGCTCGCTTCTTAGACCTAGACCCTAGATCAACTCTCTATATCTTCTTTCTTTAGGTAAAAAGAAATCCTATTATTAGTAACAACAAATATAAGTATAGTACCTATCTTAGGTTAGAGGAGGAAGTGCGCTAGTAGCGCGAGGGATTCACAACCTACAGTCTAGTAATGTCCGAAGTATGGGTTGCAGGGTTCAGGGGCAAACCTAACAATATCGGTATTTCCGCTTTTGAGACTCGATGCTACGCGCCCCTAAAAGCTCACCTTCCAAAAGATAGGAGGACGGGGGAATAAGGGGAACGAAACAGCAGAGGCGCCTCGGATATTATTATGTAATTCCACCATATAGGCTACTCGCTTAGCCAATATATCAGTCGTTGATATCCCACGGTTTTCGTCTTCTCGCCCATACGTCTCTCTACACAAATAGACTAGGCTAGATAGTTAGTACCAGTTTGTATTGCTGAAATCATTATCAAGGACAAGTAGGACAAGCAGGGCAAGCATACTCTACATTGTAGCCAATAAGTAAGAAAAACCACATACAGAACTACAGAGCATACTATCCCTAGGCTGATACTAGAGAATAGCCAGGAATATAGACATGGCATATAGATAAGAGTCCCTGTAGAGTCTAGACTTAGCTTTTTCCAGAGGAAACTCCCAAGCTTCCCTATATCCACCAACATAGAATACCACCCCCCCCCCAGTCGCACTGCTTCGTATCTCCGGCTTCTACTTTCGCCCCACTGATATAAATGACTAAACCCTACTATAATCACCGCCGCGAACCACACGGGATCCAGACGGGTGAAGCATATATCCACCTCGACACTCCTTCAGCTAATTAGCCGCCATAAGTCTCCTCACGCAGGAGATCATCATCATATAGGCCTTGACGGGCGCGAGCGTGGCCATCATGGCCTTTCGGCTGATCATAAACGTCGGCAAGCGGCGGAGGTTTAACATAGGCGACTACTGCACAATGGCCGCTATTGTCACCCTCCTACTACGCTCCTCCGTCGAGAATGTCCCTATAGTCTAGGGCGACAACCAAGTCAAGAACAGGGCGACGACCACCTTCACCTCGCAGGACATCTACCGTCTCAAGGTTGGCTCAAAGCTAACCATAGTCAACCAGGTCTTCTATACCGTGTAGTATGTATTTGCACTTTCCGCTTTCCATTTATACGTTCTCATGCTCTTAAGCTTTAGTCCGAATCAGCGATTAGGAGGAAGACCTTGTCACTGACTTAAACAAGTGTCTAGTTACAGAAGTGCGTCGTTATGTGCATTGTGCAAAAGCTATTCCGAGGCACCAAGTCACATAGGTTTTTGCAAGCCTACTAGGCTATTCTAGGAGTAACCTTTCTCGGCTCCATCGTCTCCTGCTTCACCGAGTATCACCCTTTCCAGCTATACTAGCAGGTTGTCCCTGATCTAGGTAAGCCAATCCCCGTCGAAAACCAGCCAGAGCATGCCAATAGAGACAGAGGGATATCGGTTTCTCTTCGTGGCACCAAGTTGTTGCAATACGCCAGTCGACGACATAGAGATGCGGTAGTCTTCGTCTCCGCAAATGCGCCATCTTTTCTTTGTCCTTTTACCGAGTCCCATCTAACCATATACTGACCTACCGCTTTAATTAGGCAAATACGGTGCCGGCAACATCTAACTCTTCGTCTTCTACATCCTCGAGATCGTCACCGACGTGATGCTCATGATCCTGCCCCTCCACTATCTGTCCAAAATAAACCGCCCCTAGCTCGCGCGCCTTCGCCTTATCGGCCTCTTCCTCGTCGGCCTCGCCATCGTCGCCGTGACCATAACACGCCTAATCATGAACGTCACCAATTACCAGCGCTCGGGCGCCTCCCACAACATCGCTAACATCGAGCTCTTCTTCTCCGCCTTCGTCGCCAACGCTCCGCCTATCTACGGCCTCATCAACGCCAAGATTTCGAGCTCGACCTAGCGGTCGCGCTCTACAAACAATGCCGCGTCTAGTGCCATAGCCAGCGGGTGGCAGCTCGACACCCTAACTTCCATATCGACCCCTTCAAAGCTACAAAAAGCCAATGTCGAAAAGTAGAACGGCATCACCGTGACGAGGAACATCACCGTGATAAGGAGGACCGGCGAGACGGATAGCGAGGAGGAATTAATCATCGTAAGTTTCATCTCTGTGTTCCGCTCACCTAAGCATTACATATATAATTATAATTACTTCGGATGTCTCTAATATCACGTCTGCGCAGCAGCAGCAGCCGCCTATAGCCCCATTCTAAAACCACATCAACGACTACTTATATATATGCTACAATACGTACTATAGTTAAAAATGTCCTTAGAGCCAGCCACTTGCTGGTTATCACTATAGCAAATATTTTTGATTTTGTGGAGATTAGCGGCAGAGTTCCGATCAAGGCTCGGTAGGGGCCCGTGTGGATAAGGAGCATAGAGAGTAATTACACGAAGGCCTTTCTATCGGTAAGCGGGATAGCACTAGCATATAATTCATTATCTATTAAGGGACCTTGTGGATAGTATCCGTAGGCGTCATTGGAGGTGGGCAAGCGTTCCGGGTTATATAGTGTTATAAGGGCGTTCAAAAAAGGGTTCTTGGAATCCTTACTCTAACGGCCCTTAGCAAGCATCGTTCTCAGGAGTCTCTTAGGATCTATACAGTTTACCCAGTAGCCTTCTTGCCCGACGGCCGGCTGCTAGCGTCCAGCTCCTAGGATAACATAGTGCGGCTCTGGGACTCGGCGACGGGCGCCCTACAGCAGATTTTGAACACGGATGGAACTGTCGGCAAACTTGAATTTTCTCAAGATGGTTCATATCTAATCACTAACTCAGGCACCCTCAACATCCAGTCTAGGCACGAAAATCATGCTTCTACTTCAACCTATACGAGTCTGGCGATCTTCATTGAACAAGAACAGTAGACAAACCTAAACGGCAAAAATGTACTATGGCTTCCTCCTGACTTTCGGCCTAGCTATTCCGCGATTAATGGAATTCGCTTGCCTTAGGGTACGCATCAGGGCTAAGATACCATATAGCCTATTAGGTTATGGTTGCCTAAGGTAAGGCTGAGCCATTGACTAGATATAGAAGGTTCTACGCCATCGAAAAAACGTACATGTCACACCCCACTAAACAGCACCCATTTTTCAGGCTAGAGTCTTTGAAGTGGGCCTTCCGAATCAAGAGATAAGTGGAGAACGGTGAAGCTGGTTTTGCACTTCCCTATATCTGATCCGGGCGTCGTGGGATTGTTATCCCATATATCCCAGGTAAATATCTTCAATCGGATGCTTATTGCATCAAAAACGGAGTGAAGATACACGTACCGTCTGTAAAGTTGACGTGTTACCTCGACTTGTCGTGGCTGCACTATATCCCTACGGAGCTACAGTGGTCGACTACGGCCTGCCAGTGCAGACTTAGTGGATCTAGCCGAGCTGAGAAAAATTGGTTCGGCTTCCGCACCCAAAGCCGAACCACGGAATATCCACGAACGCACGATGCCGAGCGGCTCCTGGGCTATATCCAGGGTCATACGGATATCAAGGTTCCCCCGACAGTTCTCCAAAACGTCAAAGATATTTAAATACTGACGTTGGAGCTAGTGAGAACCCCCTAGGAAGAGGACTAAAGAAGGATATAGATACCCTTAGCTAGGAAACTCTCTAGGTTAAGCAGAACATCAATGCCTTCCGTATCTCCAGCAATATTGGAGCGTATATTCCTATATAAAGGTGCTTAGTGACACTTCGGTCAAAGATTTCAATATACCACGTTAACAGCTTCAAGACGGATTGTAAGATCATAGCCCGACTCAATCCGTGGTAGCGGACTAGATACTTAATGAGCGAAAAGGTTGATGGCCCAAGTAGCCTTTCTGCCCGTAGAACACAGGCGGATAAATTAGAGAAGACCGGGATTATAGATTCTAGTAGTGATGCCTTCGTGATCCATTGAAAATGTAGAGCGCACAAGGCGTTGAAGTCTCCTACTAGTATAGCCAATATTTATCGAAAATGCTAACGATAATTGTTGTAAAAATGTCACATTCACATCAGAATATTGCTACGGGCGTAGCCTTCAAGTATATAAATTAGCGAGAAATAAAAAACAATTATGTAGAGTGGAGAATTCGTGTTCTAGTACGGCCTTCATCACCAGCAAAGGAACTTGGCTTTAAAAAGAAATGAAGAGGTCACGCTTTCTACGCTACTTCCTAGGCCGTTTTGGATCTCTCATATCAACATTCAGTAACTTCCTTTTCTTCCTTCCAAGACATAATAAATATGTAAATGTAGTCTGAACCTCGGGCGAGCCAAATAGGCAACCGATTCCTTGCTAAATCTTAAACTATCTCGCGATCTACAGGAAACCGCTGATTTTACGCTTAAGTCTTCGTCCTATACGAAGTGAAATCGTGATACGTTCACTAGGATAGCGGACAAGGAAAGAAATTGGTTTTCGGTAATAACAATAGACCTCACAAATATCATTATTAGGGTCACATTCAAATAGCGTCTCGGTCTCTCTGACGAACTCTATTTGCGATAAATAGAGACGGGCAAGAGATAAGACAACAGTTCTAGAATCAGCTCTACACCTAATGGACCCTTAGCAGATATAGAATCCGCTGTCGTATATAAGTAGGCATTCAAGCATAAAGTAGAAATTAGACGCGAGTAACGCGGTTGCGACCTCTACTAGCTGAGATTGCGGGTTGAGATAAACCCTTTACTTTTAAAGGTCTAGGTTTTTAATGTCATCCAATCTGATTGCAAATGGCAATTAGGTGTCAAGACGGAAGAAATCCTTTCTCCGCTACTATACAAGGCCATTACTAACGTCTCGGAAACGGCTTTAGCCATCGAGGAAGTCTATAAATAACGACTAGAGCCGTTGCAGGGAATATATTTTTCGGTTAGAATTCGCTACACCTTTAATAGCTTCGCCCGTTCCTAGAGAGATAGTAACATTATAGATTGTGTCTTCAGTCCAAATACAGGTTGCCTCCCAAGTTGCAAGCTCAATCGGATTGGGAAATCCAAGGCCGCTATCCCAAAAATCTCGCCCGTCAATATATATTAGTTTGAAAAATCTGATCATTATAGTTAGACTATTTCTTCCTTTCATATATTATGTCTTATATAGAAGTAGCTATTATTACACGTGCCCTATTCAAGTCAATATGTATAACTGGTAACCAGCTCTGGTCCTAACTCACGATTGCCAAAGAAGTGGCTCGTCTTTCATATCTAGGGGTCGGACAATGGCATAACCTAGCCTTATTAGTGAAATTCATTTAAATTGCAGTGATTTCATACCTTGCTAAATTATAGGCAGTGAAGCCCTGTTGTAGTTCGTAAAAATAGAACGCTTATTCCCAGTCGAGGTAGCTGTAAGGGCCACCTTAGTCCCAGATATAATACCAGGGATATATCTAAATAGTTTGCAATCCTTAAGTATTTCCTGCAAGGATTCCTCAAGGAAGCTCTCGTCATACATCGCGTCAGTAGTTACATAGTGCAGCATAGACTTTATCCTTCCACTAATAGACTTAGAACGAGAAAAGCAACGGCGGGCTAGAGCTTCAAAAACTATAGCACACCGAGCGATCGGCCACTACTAATAGAATTTGGCTAGAACAGCTAGACCACCTATCCACTTAGCTAAGGATTCTGCTTATAGCCTCAATGGGAAACATACCAAAGCTTGTGCCAACCGCTAGATCTATCATGCTATATATTTGACAATTCCCTAGAAGCTTTTGTAGCTGTGCCATAAACTCAAGTAGCGTCACGCCACGTGCACCACCCCCGTCAATTCCAACAAGCCTTACCCCTACAGTTTTCGGTTTGACACTCACTCTAAGCTCCCCGCCGTCATCGAACAAGCATTCGAGTTTAACTTCACATTCTATTCTAGGAACAGGTATTCCGAACGTTGTCACACAAGTGTTATATATAGAATAACCACAGCTTAAGTGCCTCTCTAGGTAGCGACGAATACAGGATAAATAGATAGTGTTGCTATAAAGCTAAGACAGAAAGGATTTATGCTTCTTAGCAGCACATTTATGTAGCTATACAGCCGAGTTAAAACCTTGTTCGAGAGATTCGAAGATACTCTCACAATATTAAGAAATTTTCGAATTCAAGGAGCGATAGTATATCACTCTATATCGAGCATAAAACGCCTTATTGCAACTCTCTTAGTAGAGCTTTATAAATATCGTTTTCGGGTCAAAATCTTAACAGCATTAGTATGTTGATTTTGGGAAATAGAGAAATCACAAACGGTGCATTTATAGTGGAAACGCGTCCATCATAAAACTAGATGCCAGAAACGACGCAATCACATTATATAAAAGCTTAGCTCTGGATACTAGCTCCAGAAAATTCTGAATATATTGATCGTGATTCTCCGCCACTAGGTTATATATTCGAGATTCAGCAATAAAATCGAAATCCTCTACTAGGCTCTTTACGGTATATTAAATTACAAGATTAAAGAATACTAAGAAATAGGAGGCGGAAAACAAACACCGATAGTAGCGCCGAACAACTCTTAATTCTTCGAGCTAGTAACGAATCTCACTACTAAGTCGCTAGTATCTTATTAAAGGCGAGAGATATATACCTGCTAGTCGAAAAACCTTAAGAGACGAGAAGTTTGATAAGACCTATCGACTAAGACTAGAATTTAGAGCTATTTGGAAGTCTTCCACTCTTTTGTTTTTGAATCTCCTATCCTCTAAAATCACAACTAATAGCTATAGACGGATATCTATAGGCAGAGAAGAGGCACTATCGACCTCGACCTATGCTATCAAGCGGAGTATAATAGCTTCTAAGGTTGAAAAATCATCTACGAAGATGCATATAACATCGCTGAAGAGAAATATAAGTCTTAAATATATAATATCTAGGACTAATCGAGATAGTGTGGTGCTCCACGTAGTAGAATGCGATATTGTCTTATAGCACTAAATATAGCTTTTGGCACTACAACAGCTCTCGAATGGATTGCTATTAGCAAATAGCAAAGGATAGTTAGTATCTAAAGACTCTATATCGACACGTAAATTTATATTCCCTCGCTCTCCACGACGACTAGGATTGTTCCGAGGAAATAGGTTCCTTAGAGCCTCTTCTTTAGTAGTCGCACCTAGAAAGAACGCTAGTTATGGCTTTTGTGAATTGGGATCAGGCATTTCTAGGACAAGAGTCTTGAGACGGTCGGTCTCCTTAAAGGTAAGGTTTTCAGTATCAATATTTTGAACGACACGAAGCTAAGTAATATACTTACAGTAGGCCATAATCTTTATTGCGGAAAGGATGGACTAGAAGATCATACATTCTTTATAAAGTGTGAAGTCGTCGCTAAGTCAAATAATTTAATTATAGCAATTATTCAATTTTGCAAAGTGATACGCAGTCTAAAAATAACAAACCGAGAATAACAAAATAGAAAGTAGTTTTAGCTCTGCTCTCTATTCCCACTAGAAAGCTCCTCCACAACCAAAAGTAGGTTCTCATTTAGATCTCCTATAGATTCAATGTTCTCTTCAAGCATTTTCACCAATTCCAGCATTCGCTTTATGGATTGATAAAAGTCACTAGCAATTTTAATATGCCCTTTCCTTACGAGACAAAGCGCCTACAATAAATCATCGTGATCATTACTTCGTTTACTTCGTGGCTAGATATTATCTGACGATCCCTAATACGTCCCTAATTATTAATATAGAACTTTAAATAGTAGACTTTGGCTTACCTAACTAGCTTCTATAGTCGTAAAGTTAGGCTGTCTGTACCAAGAAATTTGTGAATCGCTATAGAGGATAGTAATAGATAATTTATGTGAGAAATTGCAGTGTACTTACCCTAAGACTTCCTTCCACTTAAAATTAGTTATTAGCTATACAACCTAGCGGTTAAGGGTATATATGGCTTCAGCAAAATGAGCCATCGCATAACTCTCAAACGTTATTGCCTTAGGTCGCACCTCCGCCAACGAGCTAATAGAAACCTCTAATAACGGCCTCGCCTAGTGCCCACGACCATACCGCCCATAACCGGATCGCCCACGACTATACCGCCCACGAGCTAATACAAGCCTCTAATAACGGCCTCGCCTAGGGCCCACGACCGTACCGCCCACGACCAGATCGCCCACGACTATATCGCCCACGAGCTAATGCAAGCCTCTAATAACGGCCTCGCCTAGTGCCCACGATCGGATCGCCCACGACTATGCCGCCCACGAGCTAATACAAGCCTCTAATAACGGCCTCGCCTAGTGCCCACGACTGTATCGCCCACGAGCTAACGCAAGCCTCAAAGAACTACCACGGCTAGGGCCCACGACCGGATCGTCCACGACCGGATCGCCCACGACTATACCGCCCACGAGCTAACGCAAGCCTCAAAGAACTACCATAGCTAGGGCCCACGACCGGATCGTCCACGACCGGATCGCCCACGACTATACCGCCCACGAGCTAACGCAAGCCTCAAAGAACTACCATAGCTAGGGCCCACGACCGGATTATCCACGACCGGATCGTCCACGACCGGATCGCCCACGACTGTGCCGCCCACGAGCTAACGCAAGCCTCAAAGAACTACCACAGCTAGGGCCCACGACCAGATTATCCACGACCGGATCGTCCACGACCGGATCGCCCACGACTATGCCGCCCACGAGCTAACGCAAGCCTCAAAGAACTACCACAGCTAGGGCCCACGACCGGATTATCCACAACCGAATTATCCACGACCGGATCGCCCACGACTGTGCCACCCACGAGCTAATGCAAGCCTCTAATAACGGCCTCGCCTAGTGCCCACGATCGGATCGCCCACGACTGTGACGCCCACGAGCTAATGTAAGCCTCTAATAACTACCTCGCCTAGTGCCCACGATGCCAGCCACGAAGCCACGAGACTATATCGTGGACAAGGCCTAAGAATTCCTAACATATTTTCGCTAAGGTCCGGTAGTGCAGGGCTAATTCTGTTTTGTCACCACCCAATAGCTGTTGCACCACGATTCGAGTGCTAAACTAAATTAGTTCGTAGGCCGGATCGGATCTAAGTCATATAAGGAATCGTCCAAAGTCCCGCGATAAGAACTGTCGGTATCTAGCAAGGCGAATAGGTTTCAGTCTAACAAGTTATACTTAGGTGGATAATAGGGCACGAAAGGATTTTCTAATATGCGATTATAAGCGCAGTGCATTTATCTAAGTGCGAACACTATATTGATATATATAGAATAAGTAAACACAAGTCAAAGAAACTTTCGTTAGAAAATCAAAGTCCTCAATACTATCGGAGCACCGCCACAGAAATTGAGCCTACTTAAGCTCCGTTCTTCATCTAAATTTCCTAAACTAAATCATAGAGCTTCAGCAAGAACGGTTGCAGCTAGTCAATGATGTATACTTATAGTTCATCGATTTTCCTAAGGATATTAGTGACTAAGTCCAACCGAACTTTAGACTAGGCTCACTTTTGTTTCTCTGTCACTCTAAAAAATGTTAGTCGTAGCGTTTTAAAAGGTTAGAATTAACTATACCGGATTTCTAGTGAATAAATACGCTCCTAGAGCTTAGCCATTAATTAGTGTAGACTATAAGCCTCTTCATTGGACATAGAGCTTAGTAACAGGCCCGGGAGATCCTGGAAGGTTTCCACCTGCTCTCCACTTAGGGTTAGGGCCACGACAGTGAACGGGTCTAGGTAATCCTCAAGGATTTGACTCCAAGAAACTTCGGGACTATTCTCCTGAGGAGGATATTGAAGATTAGGAAAATCTCCATCTAGCTCTCCCCAGGTAAGAAAGGACTCAAGGTTAGTTATTTCCATAATAATGGTTGAATGATTTAGTTCTATAGAAGGCTTAGGCCAGACTTTATCTTCTACACAGCTACTATCAGCCGCTAGGGCGAACCCTAGGCGCTACGCCCACAGGATAAAAATTCCCTATAACATAGAAAACATAAATAGCAGCCTCGTAAAAGTATAAATAGCAGCCTTGCCTCGTTGGCGATACGTAACTAACTTATCTATAATCGGAACCCTCTTAAATACCCCTAAACTACAGTAACTATGTCTACCAATTAGAAAGCACCTAGACACAATAAGCAGTACTACGAAGAAGAAGAGTCTCTCTTGATATATCTCAAAACATTGAATCTGCCTTAGCCGCAAATTATATCTCGCTTTAACCAAACCGTTCCTCCTAATCGATAGCGAACGTCCGCTGCTTTAGAAAATAAATAGCGTCAATTACGCAAAACCTACTACCTATAAGTATTAATAGTCTTTCTCCAAATCGAAGTCATGACTTACTTATCTCGAGTGACAACGAAAGACCACCTTTTGCCCTAGGGGCTTACGCGGTTTATGACAAGCGAAATAATTTTATTAATAAAAATTGACTAGTATTTTTATCCCTATCTAAGCTAGCGAATCCTAAAATATCACTAGTATATTTATAGATCGTGGGCGCTTATCTCATCGCGCTGCTAGCCCTACCTTCCGAGGATATAAGTATATCTAGTCCCATCTAGCTTTGCGGGATGTCTTTCTTATTCTACCTGCTATATTATCCCTAGTACTTTCCTTACTATAAGATACTCTTGATCAATTCGCTCTTCTCTCTATATCCAGTCGAGATGCAGAATCAACCAATAGGTTACTTACTTAATTAGGGAAACTTTACTAATATAGACTAAAGAATTTGGAATATATCACCGTATCATAGAACATCATTCGAGGTTTTTTTATCCGCGAACAAGACTTCATAAGTCGCATAACTAGATTGGAGAAATCTCTTCAAGATACAGGATTCTAAAACCAGCAGGAGCGAGTTATATATAACGCTCTAAATGCGCAATATAAGCAGCTATATAAAGGCTACAAAAAGCTTTTGGAATCTTATCAGTCCCTTAAGAAATACATCGAAGGGGATGAATTAGGTGACATTAGGCTCACTGCGAGCTTAGAGCCTCCTACAGGAAGGTCTAGTACGCTCGAAATAAAGTTAGAGCTTATATGAATAGGACGTCGCTTTGGGCTTCCCTTTCGTTAGTGCTTCGTTTAGTTCACGCGTACATTATCCTTATAGTCTAATTGCTTACCGTGATTTCTTAATAAAATTTATATAATAAAAACTGCCTTCTATCTTATAGTAGCTAGCTATATCATTCTTAGTGACTCCTAAAAGCTAAACTACCTTCTCGCGTTCTATCCAAGTCTTGCAATACGTCCTCTAGATACTCTCTATCGGTTTCTTGAACCAGTTAGCAGGCTTTAAAGCTATAAACGGGAAGGTGTAGGCTATAATCGTGCCGTTCTTTGGCTTGTTTGCGAGCGCGTTGTCCGCCTTATTTGGGATCGGGTAGTTGGCCTTATCAATAGCTATCGTACCTATATAGACTAGGCGCGGCCGCGATTACAGGATCCAGATATAGCCTAAGTATATAACTATTGCTCGTAGTAGACACTATCTTCGGTATCCACCGATTGGCCCGTGGGTAGTATACTTCTAAGCTAGGAAATATACTCACGTAGATCCGCCCTTTTGACTCGCCAAGTCTTTAGATAGTGCCTGTTTTGAATCCTCTCCCAGATAAAGTCGCGTATATCTTCAAATCTGGTAGTGGAGCGATAATATACAACATCACGAACCGCTATTTTAAGCTAAGCTCCTACGTTGCAGAAGTTCTCTATCTCAATACAGCCCACACTAGGCGGCGCGCCGATTTCGAATACGTTTATTAAATCGATCTCCCAATTTATATCAGATAACTAAGATTTAGCATGCTCTCGTTGTCTTAAAGATCCCCAAAGACATCTTCTGATATATCCGGACGCCCAGTCCCAAAAAGGGCGATAATGATAGATATCGCCTAGGCGGCAGGCCGAGATATCTTCATACGTGTAGGAAATAAAGATACTATAAGGTCCTTCTTCTTAGTTCCTTCTTATAAAGTCCCTATCTTCTCCAATAGCTCGGTGATAGCGAATACCATTCGGGGGTGCTAGATATAGGGGTGGCAACTCCATAGCTAGTTTCTAGTTTACCGTCTCACCCTTGATCTAAATAGATTTAATAAGGCTAGTTAATAAGACTAGATAACAAAATTATAATTATCAAATTACGGAAATGTAAATTTCGTATTATTAGTAAATTCCACTATTAGATCCTAGTCCCAAACGTCACATATTTAAGTGCGACGGCAAACCTCTAAATCAGCCAAGGACCTTTACTTTTTCTTTTAGTTTTGTAATAGAACTTACATCAATGGCCGAGGAATCCCTTTACGAAGACCTTGGGGAAGTCTCTAGTGAAGCAGACTTTAATTCTAAATATAATGAACACCCTCCTTCGCAGTCTGCTAAACCAGATAAAGATAGCACAGACTATGATTCTAAGACAGAATACTTTCAAGGATACGCTTAGTTGGATGCTCTTTCGGCGGATACCGAGCAGTGGTATAGTATAACCTTTAATAGAGATACCATCCTAGGCTAGCGGGGAAGGGGGTGGGGCCGCTCTGTAATTATTGGATATAATTGCTAAGGCCAACGAATTAGCCACGTTGAAGCCGCCGGCCAGCGGACAATACTAGATCGATATCCTTATATATCTAAACACGTAAGAGCTCGAATGAAACCAAACGGAATTGATTATATAACTGCGGATGACATTAAATCTATAGGTCTTATTGCCTAGCGCGTTAAAGACAAATATGCTCGCGACCCTACAGCTATTCTTCGTCCTATAGAAAAGGCTTGGTATCCAGAAACATACGTTGGTGTCATTTGGAATAATAACCAATTTACTTAGGAGTCACGAGACGGATTTCGATTTATACTTACCAAAGGTAACTACCAAAGCGATATATTTATTTATCGCTTAGCAATTTCCTAGGACTATAATTATCAAGAAGCATTAACAGGAAATCGGCCACAATATCCAGACGGTGCAAATATACAGAATATACATTAGAGAAATATAAATGCTCATAGAGGGTCACATTAGCTATACCCTCGGGCCTAGGAGGAGAGAAGGATAGTTAATATCGATGATGAGCGAGTTAGTGATTTAGAAGAGGAGCAGGAGGAGGAAGAGGAGGAAGAAGATATTTATAAGGAGGAAGAAGACTACGAGGAGGAGGAGGAGAAGGAAGAAGAGGAGGAGGAAGAAGAAGAGGAGGAGGAAGAAGAGGAGGAGGAAGAGGAGGAATAGGAGGAACAGGAGGAACAGGAGGAACAGAAGGAATAGGAGGAACAGGAGGAACAGGAGGAAGAGGAGGAAGAGAGACATATTAAACCATATAGAAGGCGAGCTACTATAAAAGCTAAGCCCTCGGAAAGTCGAAGAAGATTCCCTTTAACACCTCCATTCTTAAGGGACCCAACGCCTGCATATCGAAGCGGGAGCGAAAGAAGGCCAAGAAGTCCGCCTTTGTCAATAATATCCGAGAATGACAACTTTTTTACGCTAGATCCTAACAGCTCCTCCCAACGTAGTGCAAACTCGAATCGAACGCCATCTCGCTCAACACCTTAGTCCACTCAGTCTGGTCAACCACACACACCGACACCGGGAATATTGCGTAAGTCTATTTCAAACTAACAGCCACCTAAAAGGAGTAGGCTTCTCCCAGGAAATAGGGATGTCGATACAAAAAGTAACTAGCATACACCGATAAACAAAGATAATATAGCTACCCATAAAATGGCAAGATCAGCTCAGTCGCGTTTGCCGTACACTTCGGGTCGGGGTGCATCATCTAAGTCGTCGGAACGGCCTAAGAGCAATCGATCAGCCGAACCGAGATTGAAGATTCATAAGAACCCAGGGCCACCAGGATCTACACAAGCTAGCTCGAGCAAAGATAAAGGGAAGACGCCAGTCCGCGCGAGTTCAGGGCCACCAGGATCTACACAAGCTAGCTCGAGCAAAGATAAAGGGAAGACGCCAGTCCGCACGAGTTCAGGGCCACCAGGATCTACACAAGCTAGCTCGAGCAAAGATAAAGGGAAGACGCCAGTCCGCGCGAGTTCAGGGCCACCAGGATCTACACAAGCTAGCTCGAGCAAAGATAAAGGGAAGACGCCAGTCCGCACGAGTTCAGGGCCACCAGGATCTACAAAAGCTAGTTCGAGCAAAGATAAAGGGAAGACGCCAGTTCGCGCGATTCCAGGGTCATCAGGATCTACACAAGCTAGTTCGAGCAAAGATAAAGGGAAGACGCCAGTCCGCGCGAGTTCAGGGCCACCAGGATCTACCCAAGATAGCTTGAGCAGATCACAGAATCAGGGTTCCCTAGTGGACAAAGGACAGACGCCAGTCCGCGCGAGTTCAGGGCCACCAGGATCTACCCAAGATAGCTTGAGCAGATCACAGAATCAGGGTTCCCTAGACCAAGGAAAGGCACCAGTTCGCGCGAGTTCAGGGCCACCAGGATCTACACAAGCTAGCTCGAGCAAAGATAAAGGGAAGACGCCAGTTCGCGCAAGTCAAGGGTCATCAGGATCTACCCAAGATAGCTTGAGCAGATCACAGAATCAGGGTTCCCTAGTGGACAAAGGACAGACGCCAGTCCGCGCGAGTTCAGGGCCACCAGGATCTACACAAGCTAGCTCGAGCAAAGATAAAGGGAAGACGCCAGTTCGCGCGAGTCAAGGGTCATCAGGATCTACACAAGCTAGTTCGAGCAAAGATAAAGGGAAGACGCCAGTCCGCACGAGTTCAGGGCCACCAAGATCTACACAAGCTAGCTCGAGCAAAGATAAAGGGAAGACGCCAGTTCGCGCGAGTCAAGGGTCATCAGGATCTACACAAGCTAGTTCGAGCAAAGATAAAGGAAAGACGCCAGTCCGCGCGAGCCCAGGGCCACCAGGATCTACCCAAGATAGCTTGAGCAGATCACAGAATCAGGGTTCCCTAGACCAAGGAAAGGCACTAGTTCGCGCGAGTTTAGGGCCACCAGGATCTACCCAGCCTAGTCCTAGCAGATCGCAGAATATAGGGCAGTCTGAGTTGAACGGTCCCGCACCGTCTATTAGGTTTGTGAGGAAGAAGGGCAATAAAGAGCCACAAAAGAAACGCTCACCTAAGCCCCGAATGGCAAAGAAAAATGGAGGTTACTAAGTTAGAAATATCTCTACCCTTTCTTTTACTTAGCTAGTTAGATAAATATATTTTGCCCTTTCCTTGAAACTATATATTTTCCAGAGAAAGAAAATAAAAACCATTAAAAAACATTCGCCAGATACATACATAGAAGTGTAACTACATTTACCCTCTTTTATCCCTTCGTCCACTGCTAGCTATCCAGAAGGTAGGCCTTTCAATCTTAGCCGCGGCCTTCACCTAGTGACCTAGGTCCTAATAAATAGTCTAGTAGAGTAGCAGTGAGTAGAAACGAGAGACTAGAACAGAAGATGTCAATATATAGGCGTTTATTTGCGGTACCTAATTTGTTATTTTTAGACGCGAAGAAAAGATGAAAATAAGCCTTTTAGAAAAAGAACATTCTAAAGCCTTCATAGCCTTTTAAGAAGAATAGTCCTAGCTTAACAGGACTATAACCTAATAATAAACTTAACCACCCTCTTTAGAAACCGTGCAAATATACCTCATACAAGGTTTACAAATACAAACAAGCTTTACGACGAAGAATATGACATCGCGGCTCCCTTAGTTGCCTCTATTCTATAGAGTAACGAAAGCGAACGAAATCGAGCCATCGAACAGCTTAAGCAATTAAATAATAAGATTCGAACCAAGAACATACAAGCCAAGATACTAGTATCTACCGGCTATATTAGACTAGAGATTTTCCAGAATGTAAGTGAGCGCTTAGCAGAGGCTTCCCAAGCCTTTCTACACTCCGGTAATAATAAACTATTTTTGCTCGTTCATAACTCACTTACAAAATCAATCGAGTCCTATCACTAGCCAACGTCATAGGGAGTGACTTAGGAGCAATTCCTAGACTACCAACAACGGAAGACGGATAATAAATATACAAAAAATGAGAACAACATCGATCTCACCGATATCAAACACACTAGCAATGAAGACCAAGGAAATGAGGATGCTAGCCATAAAGACGCTAACTCTAACGACGCTAACTCTGAAGACGCTGGCCATAAATACGCTGGCCATAATGACGCTAGCTATAAAGACGCTGACTCTGAAGACGCTGACTCTGAAGACGCTGACTTTGAAGACGCTGGCCATGAATACGCTGGCTCTAACGACGCTGACTCTGACGACGCTGGCCATGAAGACGCTGACTTTAAAGACGCTGGCCATGAATACGCTGGCTCTGACGACGCTGACTCTGACGACGCTGGCCATAAAGACGCTAGCCATGAATACACTAGCCATGAAGACGCTGACTCTGACGACGCTGACTCTGACGACGCTAGCCATGAATACGCTGGCCATGAAGACACTGGCTATGAAGACGCTGACTCTGAAAACGCTGGCTCTGACGACTCTGGCCATGAAGACGCTGGCCATAAAGACACTGGCCATGAAGACGCTGACTCTGAAGACGCTGGCTCTAACGACGCTAACTCTAACGACGCTGGCCATAAAGACGCTAACTTTGAAGACGCTAGCTCTGAATACGCTAGCTCTAAAGACGCTGACTCTGAAGACGCTGGCCATAAAGACGCTAACTCTGAAGATGCTGGCTATGAAGATAGTGATTATAAAGAAGGTGATTATAAAGATGATAGCTATAAAGAAGAGAGGTTTGCGCTTACAGGAAGTCCAGAAATGGATCTAAACTCACCTTCACTTGATAAAAAAGGTCCTGATCAATAGCAAAGCTATATTAAACTGCTTGCCATTAGGCAAAGGGCTAAGAGAATTTACGGAGTTCTCCTCAACCCAAGATATATTTTAGGTTAGCAAGAGACCAAGAAGTCTAGTAAATTGCTTATCCTAGGGTATACTTACAAAGGGAAGTAAGTAGCGCGCGTTAAACCCATAGATAAAGGAACCACCAAATTGTGGCAGTCTAAAACAGTGAATACAACATCTCACAAGGAATCTAGAATCAAAGGCCTCGGTTTGGTAGCATAGAAAGTGGACAGTGAGAAATTGTTTAATCCCACCTCGACTTTATATCCTTCGGAGAACGCTCAATACCCTAAAACATTTATATAGGTGTGCTAGAACGATGATTCTTAGTCGTGGGAGTCTCGTGCCGAATTGCAATCTCTCTTGCACGATCTCCAACCTTACAAAGTTGATATCCTTATATACTTCTATACAGTTTCACAGGAAGCAGATTATCGAGAGATATTAACTAGGATAAGGCCGTCATTTCCATATCCAGGAGCTACGGGAGTTTAAAGAATTTAATCAAACGTTTAGATTAAGCTAAAACTAGTTCTTCTTTATCTATTTAAAGGACATCTCTATCAGCCCTATTATCCACTTCCTTAGGCAAACATAATGCTCTTTCCGATTATTTCTCAAGGTGCGTGGAAACAGCTACGTAGCTTTAATTACTAAGATAGGTTGAATTCGTTTCCAGGAAATAGTGTATACATTAGAAGGCAAACCCTATACCGCGCTATTATATTGTTACTGCTATAGGGCTAATAATATTTTCTCCTCCTATAGTAGTTAGAATGGAAATCACTAAAGGGGCGTAAGTGAAATCTCAGAAGAAGAGATACTAGGAGGGCCATAGATACAAGAAATCCATATATTCAAACATAAACCGTATAAAAGTCTTTAATTCGAAGCTAAGGAAACCTAGTTCGACACGCGTGCAAATAAATCATATTCCTCGCGATTTCATTTAGCCTCTACCTTTTCTCCTCGGTCACTCAAACTTTCATCATCTTCGGGGACTACAATATAATTCTTGAATTCGAATTATTAGATATACCAATCGATCAATACCAAACTTTAGGGCTTACCGGCCAATCATCTACAAGAAAGATAGAATATATAACTCGCGTCTTTCCACCTAAATGCCTAACTACTATAATATACACACCTAGTAAACCTGCTTTTCGTGCGATCTTAGAAAGAATACCCATAATAAAGGGATAGCTTATAGGATCTCATAGGGGAGGGGGGGGACAGGAAGCCTTTAAATAAAATGTGAAAATACCAAACGCACGTTGTTAACTTTGTGCCTTCTATTAAATCCGTTTTAACTCCGACTCTATTCAATTTTAAAGGACCAAAAAATTTCCCCCAGTCCAATATTCCTATCAGTTTAATATTCCTATAAGTCTAATATTCCTCCACCTCAATATTCTTACCAGTCTAACATTCCCACAAGTCTAATATTCCTCCACCTCAATATTCCTACTAGTCTAACATTCTCACCTATCCAATATTCCTCTAACTCAATATTCCTATCAGTCTAATATTCCTATAAGTCTAACATTCCTCCACCTCAATATTCCTATAGTCTAATATTCTCACCTGTCTAATATTCCTCCAACTCAATATTCCTATCAGTCTAATATTTCCCCCCGTTATCCATATTGGACGAATCTACATTTCTACAGAAGCGGGCCTGCTATAGAGGCAGAGCTAAGGTGAAGCTACATCATTTTGATATTTCCGCTCCTAGACCACGAATAATCAGAGGAGAGCATATCCAAGCCCTAGTCAAGATATTCGAGTCCGAAGGGTATTCTCGTCTCAACCCTAATAATTATGTCAAGGTCTTAATCCAAGATAAGACTCTTCGGCGATATCTAGCGGAGCAGGGTCGAGCTAAAATTAATTTACATAATAAAATATAATTCCTGCACCTTCCAGACAGTTTACGGCTAGTTATACTACACGGAAAGCACCATATATTAGCTACTAGATCATATTCTGCTCAATGGTAGGTAGCTAAGCTATATAGTGAAGGTGAGATAGACTAAGATCATTTATTGTGACTACTAAAAGATTGTAAGACCTTGACCCATATATACAGTAGGTTATTCGCGAAGAGTATCCAAACGCATTGCCTTATTGTGATAGTGATATTTATCAGAATATAAGATATCATCAAGGCCGCGGTGATATAGACGCGGAACTCAAATAGCGAGGTCGATTCAGCAAATATATACGTCACGAGCTAGCTCGGATGGAAAAGGATTTCAAGCGCGTTCAACGAGGATTTAATAGACTACTGCTATTCACAGGCCTCTAGAAGTTCATTAAATTCTCTTACCTAGGCCAGTGGCTATCGATTAAGTGCTCTGAGGTATACCATAATACGACCACTTCAAGGGATATTTCTAACCTCAAACAGGAAATACAACACTACTTAGAGGCCATTCATCAGCAGTGGAGCATTATCATAGCCGACTATCTAGTAGGGCTCTTAGACCAAGATACAGTTTGTGAGCTCAAGACACTAATGCCAAGTATTTCTACGTATAACAAGGCTACAGTCACTGATAAAATGGCTAGAAGAGAGATATTTACCTATATCATCTCTCAAAGTGACCGTGACCTAATTTTGGAAAGAATATTAAGCAGCCATAGGAGAATTCTTTCTTTCTATACATTTATAAGGGACTTCATATACTTTAAGGCTTACGCTATAGCTCTTAAGCAACTACAGCCCCTAGATTCAAAAGCCACGATGCTCCAGAATTTCTTACAAAGCTATTATGAAGATATATCGGGTATATACCGCGTTTAGGTTGCGGAGAATACCTTCAATATCTACCGTGGAAGTGAAAACAATGCAATCCTCGGCTACCGCTAGCTTTTCCTAGCTATAATACATAATTTTCCCAGTCTAACCGGTCTCCTTCTATACCAAGATCAAAAGAAGGCAAAACGCCAATATTTTGGCTCTAAGTCAGAGAGGATCTCAAACCTAGCCGAAGTTACATTCCTCTTAGGGTTCGAGAATAACCAGATTTTAGCGATAAAGGAAAGTACTAGAGAGGACCGATACGAACTTGCCACCAAGGAGTTCTTACTTCAACTCCAGCCAATAGATCGCTATATAGTTGATTTTTAGGGAACAAAAGCAGTGGCAAATCAAGTCGCACACACGATAACATCGGCTTTAGTTATTCGACCCACGCTCAAGGCAGCAGAGTTCACAACGGATCTAGAGAAGTAGCCTAAGAAGCTCCAATGTAACCGACCTTCTTATAAAAACTACGAAATAGATCGAACCTTTCTATTTCTAGACATTCTCTTCGGCCAAGAGGCTATTCCGCGATCACATACTACGTCCCTCGCTATACAACGTGATATCTTTATCTCTTTTTTTAGGGAGCTTAAGCTCCCATCAACTATGGTTGGGACGGGGAATAACTCTTCTGACTTTGATAAAGCCGACTTTCACGAGGCCTCCTCTCCAGAAAGTAACTCCAGAGTTTTAGGCTTATATAAAGTGGACACTTCCCCAGACGACCATTATAGCTCATTTGCACATAATGAACAGCATAAAATCAATGATAAGCCCCTCACAGTCTCAAGTGCATATAAAAATAAAGATCACGCACTAACTTCCGAAGATCGCACTCACCATATTCTAGGGTCGTCATTTAAGACTTATTCTATCTCTACTAAGTCACGTCTAGATCATGAACCCCTCTACTATCATCCAGTGTTCGAAACTAGGTTTCTTAGTCACATTAGCGCCAATACAATACCCTCGGAGTTTATCAGGAGTATACTTTTAAATCCGAATGCTATCCTTCTTTATGTCTGGAATACTAGGGAGTATGCTAATTTCTCAACTAACCCTTTTTGCAAGCCTTCATTTTTAAAGGTCGCACGCTATCTAGCGGATCAGCAACAAATATTCGTTGCAGCTCGTTTAGGCGGCCTATCCTCTTTAATAGTTTTTAAGGAACTCTATATTACTACATTAAAGGAGAGACTTATCTTAGTTGGACCGAAGCATGATCGGTCTAGACTAAGCGGCATTCTTATATACCAACTAAGAAGTGGTAATCTTGAATTTCTCGATAGAATCTATTAGAACGCCAAATAGCTTAAGTACCAAAGGTTTAATCACTATTTATAATCATGTAGAACCAACCCTCTAATCTTCATCACTAGCACAACAAGACATCCATCATTTGCAGCCTAAGAGATAAATACGTGCTATTCCACTATTCAGAATAGGTATATAAAATATAAAACGGAAAACTAACCTACAAAAGAGCCAGTATAGAGCTGGTCTCGGTTGCTATGCAAAATTAACGCAAGTTCTAACTACTTTCCCTTAACTTATCTTGATAGGAACCTCTCTAATTAACACTTGCAGAACCCAGTGAGATAATTTCAGATACCACCTAGGCTAAAGACTTAATGTCAAGCTACTTAGACCCTTAATGTCGATCAAGTAGACATACTCCTATATTTGCTGCTCTAAATAGTTAGCGCTATATATAAATATTAAAGTTCTCGTCTGACCTATCTTTACGGCTCCTTGAGACGATATAAATATATTATCGCATTTCACATCGGTGTAACACATAGCAAGATCCCTATATATATACCAAAGCCCATATAAAAGCTATGAACGATTATCAATATTTGTATCTAAGAGTGTTTGTGACTATACCTCTTTGCATATAAATGCAATGTCTGATTCCTTAAGAGTTAAGCTAGAGTGCAGCTACTCTAAAGACACCTCCATAAGCTCATAAGCTAAATAAATAACTTTTGAGTCTTCAAAAGCGCTGATAAGGTTCACAAGATTTCTATATAATATCTTCATTAGATGGCCCGTTCTATCTATTCTAATAGCTTTATACTACTTTATAGCGATAATTAGCCCAGGGGAAGCGATGGTATATACTAGGCAAGTTTTTCCTAGGCTCCCC